AGACGTGCTGTACAGTCACAGGAATGGTTAAGTCTAGAGGATTCGATATGGAAAATGACCAAAACATCGAGGACATGGGTAAAAATGATATGTATAAATATCTCAGACTAAAGCCAGCAACTGGGTAAAATTGACCATAATATATAAAATAAATATGAAAACCGACATAACTTCTGAGTTCATACAAAAAGTAAAACGGCTGTTTCGTTCACATGGTAACAGTAAACATTTGTTTAAGGTACTGAATACCTTGGTATGTCCTGCACTTAGCTATTCCTTGGCATTGTTAAGTCGACTTAAATGGATAGGTATGGAAAATCATCAGCGAAAAGTATAAATACATCTTACGAACGCAGAAAAACATCATCCTCGTAGTGCAGTTTAAAGAACGAAATTACCATGGTATTTAGGAGAAAGAACTTATGGACATAAGTCAGCAATAGGAAAAACAGATTGCTAATTTACGAACTTACTTTTGGATACAGGCTGAAACATACTACTTTACATTATGCGATTTGCGCTGTAGATAACACAACATTGCTTAAAGTGAGATATCCAGATTGACGATTAAGGTAGGAAAAAGGCGAACCTGCATGGCTAAACCTCTATACAGGCGACATGCTAATGAAGTCACCAAAAATTATGTTCACAATATGGCGTCAAACTATTGGTTGACATCACGAAAGATGTTCCCTAAAATACAAGGTTCCTTACTCGCCGTTCTGGATCAAGTTATTTTAACGCAAAAATACCCAAAATATTATGTCAAAAACCCTTAGGTTCAAAACGACAAATGACTACATGAATGTCAAGTCCAAGAAACCATTCAACACCTTACCGGAGGCAGCAAATTCGTAACAACATATGATTAATACGTTCCTGAGAGTATGCTTGATAATGACAACTACAAGCTATATTAGGACTGCACTGTATTTATAGACTAAATAGTAGGATAAAATAGACCAGATCTCATATTAGTTAATAAAATAACTCTAGATAAATAACGAGATAAATAACTCTAATTGATTTGGCCATACCAATCGAAAATAATCTGCGTTTTAGATACAACGAAAATATCGAAAAGTGCAAAAATTTAAAAATTTAAATACGAAGACAATGTAGCATAAAAAGTACCTAGACAATACCTATTATTCTCTCTACTACTAGAGTCATTCCAAAAAACCTAGAAAAGATAGAAAAGCTAGGTTTGAATAAAAATCTCTATAAAACCATGCAGAAAGTATACTACTATCGACGTCCAGATGTATTTAAAAATTTTTGGGATATATTTAAGTATACCAAGTCAACTAGGACTCAATAACACGGAAAGATCTCCACCTGAGCTTAATTCTATCGATACCTTAGGTATCTGGGATAAGTGAATATACCCCCTTAGAAAAGGTGAAAGCTATTAAACGAATTTTATATCACCGTCACAAAAATAAAATTTGTTTAATTTGCATTTTAAGAACTATTTCAGAAGTGGAAATTGAAACGTCAAAATAAACTTATTAAAAAAAAATTGAAGCCTATTTCCAGTGAAAATAATAAATTGTATTATCATGGCACAAAAAAATAGCTTCAGAATAATACTTGTTGATAAACTAAGTTGACATCCTTACGATATGTTTTATTGCACTATAAAATATAATATAGAATAGCGCTGATTGTATACTTTAATAGAATCTGTACTTTGTGGGGTTCAACAGAATTATTGTTTATTTCTGAAGTACTAAATGTAATATTTTTAAGTAACAGAGCTAAATTTGAGGTAAATTGAAGATACAAGTATTGGTCATATTCAATATTACTAGATGTTATTATTATAAAATAAATAGAGACACAACAAAGAAATAACATAAGTGCTAAGAAAGCTAAGAAAAAAAAAACAGATTTCACGTTCAAATGTCCACTTATTATTGGTTCATTTTGACTAAATTGGTGTATAATGAATTCACGCATACTTCAAAATATAATAATTTTATTTGTACTAGTCATATGATAATTAGCTGTGTTCAGTATGCACTGTATAAACTTCTCAAATAACTCACATAAGTAGAAACCCAAGAACAATTGTTGAACATCTGTAGGTATTAAAAAAACACAAAACCTTAAACATAATTTTTTCTCAAACAATGTTTGGAGATTTTAATAAATTTTCATGATAGTTTACTTGTAATTTTTATTACACATAACATATCACTCGTCTCCTTTCATTTTAATCACCTTATTGTAACTCTTTTGACAAAATCGATGACAAGAGAGGCGTTGGACGTAAACATATTGCCTGGCAAGTCAATTTTAGGAAAGAAACTGGTCTAATATCAACTAATCTATTTCGGGCTACTGTAAATAGAATGGGTCAATGTGGTTGCCACATCACTAAAACATGGGCACCTTTAGAAGAAGTAACTCTTTTGCACGCATCTTTATTTATTTTTTTAATATTGTATAATACAAATCCTATAGATCTAAAACTGTGACATTTCACAATAACTTCACCACCTAAAGCTGCCATCTTATTTATACCATAAAATTATATGAGTTTACCTTCACTTTTTAAATTTTCTTTCGGTAATAATAATCGTATGAAATTATTAGCGGGGAATCCTTTCAGATTATTCCAAGTTCATTTGAATCTTAGACCTTGTTTCTGGTAAGTAGCGTCAATGAGCACTAACGTAGGGACCGATCACCAATTCATACACTAAGCACTAACGAATATAATCGTTGAAATTTTCTGTTATCTAATTCAACATTAAAAAAAATAACAGATGAAATTGAGCAGTATTTCAGCCCTACTTTTATATAAAACGTATCAAACGTTTTTACTATTAAATGCACTAAACGAAGTAAATAAAAAGAATTTAGAATATATAATTTTGTATTACAATGTTTTCTTATGCATTTTAATGTGTTGCAGTATTCTTAAAACTAAGTATATCCACCATTGATAATATTTCTCAAGCTGTTAAAAATAATGAACTTTAAAATAACCTCAACGAATTATTACAAAAACAAAAACTAATAGAGAAGAGTTTAATGTCAGTGGTATTTAAGATGATGTTTACGACATGTACAAAACAAGTGTCGACAAAGAGGTGTCAGACAGGGTTGTATACTATCCCCACTGTTATTTAGTTTATATTCAGATAGAATATTTAAAGAAGCGCTGCATAATTTGGAATGGGGCGTGAAAGTTAATGGAATTCTGATAAATACAATCAGATATGCAGACGATACATTTATTTTAAGTGATGACATGAATGGATTACAATGCCTTTTAAATGACATTGATACAGTGGGAAGAGAGTTCGGCATAAACATAAACTGTTCAAAAACAAAACACATGGTGTTTAGCCGTTTAGCACATCAAGATGCACGATTATATGTTGATGGTCATATAATTCAAAGAGTGTCCAGTTTTAAATATCTTGGTTGCCATATTACTGAACAACTAGATCCAGATAAAGAAATAAAATGTAGAATCGAGATAGCACGCACGACATTTTTAAAAATGAGGTCATTCTTCTGTAATGATAACTTGCAACTTCAACTTCGAAAGCGCATGGTTAAATGCTACATTTGGTCAGTCCTCTTATACGGTGTCGAAGCATGGACATTAAAAATATTCACCATTAATCGTCTGGAGGCCTTTGAAATGTAGCTGCACAGACGTGTACTAAAAATTCCATGGACGGCTATGCTGACAGATGTGGCAGTCCTTGAGAGAGCAAATGCTGCTCGCGAGCTGCTTATTAATATCAAATGTAGAAAGATGGCCTATTTTGGACACGTAGTAAGGGGAGACCGATATAATATTCTTCAACTTATTATGATGGGTAAAATCAAAGGACGCAGAGGAATTGGTAGAAAGCAGGCCTCTTGGTTGAAGAATATCAGGGAGTGGACAGGAATAAAGAAAGCTGAGCAACTATTTAGAATAGCTCGAGACAGAGACAGTTTCGCCATGTTAATCGACAACGTCAAGGGGACTTGATAGGGCACGTTAAAAAGAAGACAAAACAAGTAAAAACTTTGATAAATTAGCAAAAGAGAATGATTGTTCATAAGAAATGTTTATTAAATCATAGTGATTTATTTGTTGAAAAACCTGTAACTTTAAAATTATTAAGAGACATCTTGGTTAAGAAGCAGATGTTCGATGGTTCCATTAAATGAATATGAAAGTTATTAGGCGAATTGGATTTCAGACAAAAAAAAATATTCTCTAAGGCGTAGAGTTATAGAACTGCCTAATATTGCAGTAAAGAGAACTTTATTTTAAAAAATTATAATGCAGAGAAATTTTTGTGTACCTGTAAGTTTGTTTTGTTTATGATACGTGGAACTTCCATAGTGAAACAATATGTCATTAATTGCAAAATGAAGACAAAAGAAATCTCAGAACCATAAAAACAAATAGTAAAAGGTTAGTCACATTAGTCAATTAGTTAATTTTATATTATTATTACTATTAGCATTGGGTTTATTAATTTTATAAAACTTTTGAGTTTTTTTTATTTATTTTACTACATTTTAAAAATCCAACTAGTGTGTTGTATTCTTAAATAGTTGACATTTTAAAAATTCTTTACTTATAAACTATTCTGATGTTTTGGCAGCAATATGGGGTTCTGATGTCGTAAATCTTGAATAAATAGAATGAAAAATTCTATATATTGGTTTGTACTAATTACCTATAGATAAATAAAATGAAAATTGCGCCCATTAAATACGATAATGAAATAAATATTTTTTAAACCAATATAATGGACCTGGAATAAAATTAGTCATAAAAAGAGGTCAAAATTAAGATACATAATAGATGGTTGCGCATAAGGGAAAGATATCTGAACGCTGCGTTGGTAGGTATGATAAAGGATAATGTACGTGATTTTGTACTATGATAAATCGATTTGATTGAAGCTAACACTTCATATGTATATTAAAAATTATCATTAGAGGTATATAGTAAGAAACACATATAACACATAGTGCTAAAGTTTTACTAAAACACATTTATGAATAGAATAACACCTGTATATATTAACCGTCATATTTTACATAGGTATCAGAACAGTCGATTATTCTAAGACCAAAGAAATAGTTAGACTACTTACCTTGTTGATTATTTTTTCTAGTAGTTTTCTTCTCTTTCATCCAGGGATACTCGGGAACGTTAACTCCCGGTGATCCCATGCCGTGTGGAACATCCATGGGATAACCACCGGCTGGGGGAGTCTGTTGAGGGCTCATGGGTGGGCCGTGAGGCAGCTCCCCAGAAAGATGTGGTAAGGCAGTCATGAATTCAGCCATCGACGGCTGACTATTGATAAATCCGGTTTCATTGCAACCTGGAAAAAATATTACGAAATGTTTGTTGCAAAAATTTCTTCAGAAAGAATATATTAACAATATATTAACATTTATTTTATAAAATTATGTTTTGTTCTTCAGTCGTTAACCGATGGAGGGGATATAGTGGTTATTGTGATGTCGTGTATGGTTCCTCTGCAAAGCTTTCTTAATCTTGTGACTATTTTTACTTCGTAGATTGGTCTTTTGCAAATCCGTGTGAACTGGTTAATCCAAGTTGTTGGAAATCTTTTTTGTTGCATTCAGCCTTCTATCAACGCTTGAATGATATGTCTTTATGATGAAGTGTCTTTATATTACCTCTGTCTAATCTTATGACAAAAATTAGACAGAGGTAATCCAAAATATTAAGGATTGTAATTAGCTGGCCAATATTTTAAGGATTGTAATTGAGCTGTGCCGGAAGGTTTTTATTGATCTTTAGCTTAAATTATTTGTTCTGATTATTTCAAAGTTTGACCTTTTAGGATTTTGAAAAATGTGGAGTAGTAGTCCATATCTGGGATATATTATGAGAGGCGAGCGTTATAACTTGTTGCAATTAATAATGCAAGGAAGAATACAGGGTACAAGGAGTCGCGGAAGAAGACGCATCTCCTGGTTGAATAATTTGAGACCTTGGTTAACTGCACTTCTGCTGACCTCTTTAGAGCAGCGGATCGAAAGTGCGAATTGCCATGATGGTTGCCAACCTTCTTAAAGGAGATGGCACGCGAAGAAAAAGAAGTAGCCTATAATAAATACAAATTTCTCTAGCTGATTATAGAGGGTAATATTGAAAATAGAAGCGTGCTTGGAGACTGACAAAGTTTGTATATTGAATAAGTTTAAATTCAAGCGTTTTGTTGAGAAAGACTTAAAATAAAGAAAAATTATCCGAAATTGCTGCCTAATTCCATTACGACAAGGCACCCAAAAAACAAAAATTCCAAAAATTTGTGTCTCTTGACTACAAAAGTGGTATATTTTTTCTGTCAATATAATCATCATCATTCAATATTCGCTTATCCACTGCTGGACATAGATCTCCCTCATAATTTTCCATCTATTCCGATCTTGTGCCTCTTGCATCCAATTCCTATGACAAATTTTTAGATCGTCAGTCCAACGTGTTGGTGGACGACCTCTACTTCGGTAGGCATAATTTCTTGGTCTTCATTCCAGTATCCGCTTTGTTCATCTGTTATCTGCCATTCAAGCCACGTGACCTGCCCAGTTCCATTTCAGTGTTGCTACTCTCTCTACTGCATCAGCCACTCCTATTCTTTGTCGTAGCTGTCGATTTGGGATCTTGTCTCGTAGTGAAACGCCCAACATAGCACGCTTCATCGCCCTATGACACACACACGGATCTTTTAAACTATTCTCCTTGTCATGGTCAACGTTTTCGCACAGTAAGTCAACACTGGCAAAACACACTGATTAAAGGTTTTTCTTTTAAGACATATTGGTATATCAGACGATTTGAAAATATGGTTCAGCTTGCCGAAGGCTGCCCAAGTCAGTCTTATACGACGGAAAAACTCATGACCTAGGTATTTATAGGCCAGTACCTGGTCTATGGATCTTGTTCCTACGCATATTATCTCCGCTGACAACAAGATTTGTCATCATCTGGGTTTTAGATATATTTATTTTCAATCCCCCTTCTAGCGAGGAAAGGTAGAGCTGATTTAAAAGTTCTTTGGCCTCATCTATCCTATCAGCTATTAGTACAATATCATCTGCAAACCTTAGATAATGTCATTATAATATAATATATTATATATTTATTGGTAATACCTATTACTTCCACGTTTTTTTTTGCTTTGAGGTTTTATAATATTACCATTTTCATGATCAGAAAAAAACATAAATATCTGTAAATTAATTTATGTGTAGTTATGTTATTAATGTTTCTTTGAGAAGTCCTGTGATGGGAACTGGATAAAAAGAAAGGTCTGCATAACTGTGTAAAAATTTTGACGAGAACTGTATGACGGAGTATTCGTAGAAAAATAAAATATATTAAGCGCTTCTTGCCTAAATCATATTAGTTTTAGTGTGATTCATCAGAAAATAGGAAAACTAACGTCTGGCTCTGGGTATTTGTTAAAACAATGATGTTTTTTATTTCTCCAGTTGTTTTTACTTTGCTAAGCTTTCGAAATATTTAGTTTAATTATTATTTAACGAGATATACAAAACCTTAATAAGACCGGTACTCACATACGGTTCACAAACCTGGACACTCTCTAAAAGGGAGGAAACCTTATTAGCCACCTTTGAAAGAAAAATCTTGCGACACATATATAAGGGCACAAAAGAAAACGGGATTTGGCGGAGAAGGTATAACTTTGAACTATACAACATATACCAGGATCCGGATATCATAACATTCATTAAAATAGAAGGCTACGTTGGATTGGACATGTGGAAAGAATGGAAGAAGGCGAAATACCAAACAAAATATTCAAACAAGTGCCAGTAGGAAGAAAAACAAGAGGAAGACCGAAGCTGACATACGTAGAACAAATAGAAAATGATATAACAACATTAAAAATTAAAAACTGGAAAAAAAAAGCACGAAACAGGTCAGAATGGAGAAGAATCCTTGAACAGGCCAAGACCCAAAAAGGGTTGTCGAGCCAGTGATGATGATGATTATTTAACGAGACGTTTAATTGTTTAAATATGCAGAATGGTACATACTGTAACGGACAAAGTAGCAGCTGTCTTAATAATTGGTGAATGTAGAAACAATTTCCATGCAGCTGATTGTCTTTTAAATCAGAGGTATCCCAATTGCCCTATAAAACCTATTTAAGGGAGCATTTTTGAAAGTCTGAAGAAACAGGAAGTGTTCAAGACCAAATGATCTGGTCTTTCTTCTACAACATAAGTTGCGTCTCTCAGTGAAGAATATTGGCTAAAAACAAGTTTCATCCATACAAAGTAAAATTGTGCACTAAGTTTCAGTCAATGGCCCCGACTGAAGATTATAATTCTGTGAAAATATGTCCAATCAAATTAACCAACAGCCAGATTACATAAAAACATTTTGGTTTAGTTGTAAAAGTACTTTTTCCCTTAACGAAAAGGTTAACACACAAGGTGAGGTATCGAAGTTACATAAATCCTCAGTCTTTCGTAAAAAACATAAAAAGTGAATATTTACGTAAGTATTATGCGAAACCACATAGATATGCATGTTTTCTCAATGCTAACTTAATTGGTAAAGTGTATCTGGAGATATTACAAAACGCCGTTACGCCGTCAATTCTTGAAGTTTTGGAAAAATTCAGATGAATTCGGCAGCATAGAAATAACGTTTCAAGAAGATGGTGCACATGCACACTATTATGGTGCAGTAATACGTTACCAACATGTGGAATATTATGGTAGATAGATTGAATGACTAATTTCGACGTAATGGCCAGCTCGGTCACCGGACCTCACACATTAGTTGTTTTTCTGTAAGGTTACTTGAAATGTAGGATTTACGCTACAACACTTAAACAAGAAATAATGCATAAACAATTATTTATTTTATACAATAAAGTTAACAATATATTTTAGTTTTTAAATTAGGTTTACTTGAAATCACTGACAAAAATTTGTATACAGTGTTAACTACAAAATAAAATTACAATTTTCTGATTTTTTTAAACAGATCTCAGTATTTTATTTTTTAGAAATATTGTATTTATGATACTCTTTCATTTTTATATAGCATTCTCTATACCTAAACTTATTATTTTCCCAGATATTTTTAGTGTTCTTAAAATTTCGTGAATACATTCAATTTTTGTGAAAATGTAAAAAGGTATTGAGTATTGAGTGATAATATAACAAAATTATTTTTATTCGATAAGTAACGAGCAAAAAATATAAGCCATAACAACTTATAATGAATATAACAATTAATGTGATATTAAGAAAATAAGTCTAAAGTAAATGTTCAAAATGTCCACCTTCAATGTCTATACCGATAACTTTGTAAACGACATTCAAATGACCGAGTCACATTTCTTAACAATTGTAAGTCAATTTTAGTTAAAGCTTCTCTTATTTTATTTTTCTTATTTTATAGATTTCTGGTATACAAGGTGTTTTATATAAAACCCACATGAAAAAATCAATTTTGGAGCATTCCGATGATTGCGGTGGCCAAACAGTTGGTCGGCCTCTGCCTATCTACCTCTCAGGAAAGTTGTTATTTAAATGATTGTTAATAGAAGCAGTGTGATGAACTGGAGCACCGTCGTGTAAAAACCACATTAGTTGTCGAATATGAAGCGGTCCATTTTGCAGTAGTACTGGCAAATGATTATTTAGAAAATCCAGATATATAGCACCATTCATACGACCGTTCAAAAAATATTTGCCAATCACATATTCGCCAACAATACCACGTCAAATATTATTGGGCCATTTAGTTTGACTATAATTCACCTTTAATTCTTCAACGAAATGTAGAAGGAAAACCACGACCAGGAAGGTCAAGAATTTCCTGGATGAAAAATCTACGTTCCTACGTGGTTCAACAAACAACCAAACACAAATCTTTTCAGAGCCACAGTTTGCAAAATATAGATTTCCATGATGGTTGTCAAAATCTGAAATGGATAAGCACTACAAGAAGAGAAGAAGTTTGACTATGAGTGTTAACAAGATATGGATTGCTTGATGCATATTAATCAAAATTATGCCAATTCTCCGTTCTATTTTTGTGAAATATAACCTTTTGTGTAATGAAAAAAAAATCGGTCTCTTTGCACTTGCTGCTGAGATCATTGACAAAACGCTAATCTGCTTTAATATTCGTCGACTGTCAATTCTTAATATAACTGTATGCGGTATTTATTCAGTTTAGGTTTACGAAGAATTTTTGCTGCCGAAGTTTGACTAATGCCATGTTGACCTGAATTTTCACGAATGTTCATGTAAGGATCTTCAGTAGTAGCTATCAGTACATAATCCTTTCCTTAACCAGTTA